GGAGCCGCCTCACCCCAAGATTTATTTTTGTGAATATTCTGCTTATTTCCATTTCCAAGTGCGCTGATTGAAGCCGCAGCTGCTGCCCATATTTCTACTTTTGCTCTCTCCTTCCCCATCGAGCTGCGTTAGGAGCTGAGCACTCGGTATTTTTATCTGAAGCACCAACACAGACTCGGTGGCGTAGGCAAAAATCCATAATTAGTGGGGCTCGAGGCAGAAGTGGCTGCACTGGACGTGGGCAGGCTCGGGAGGATGCTCTGCCACGTGAAAACTTTCCCGTGGAGCTGTCCAGCTCTGCCCCTCTGTGGGGTTTTGGTTTGGTTTTGGGTTTTTTTTTTTTTATTATTATTATTGTTATTTTTTTTTTAAATTTTCCTTGGCAGCATCAAACACAGAGAAATGACCTAAAAGGCTGTTGAAGAAAATGCATTTTTCATATATTTGCTCCATGCCTTTGTGAGCTGGAGCCCTGGCAAACACACGTTGGCGAGGGAATAAGGAATCTCTGATGTGATGTGCTCAGATATTGATTTTTTCCCTTCCCTCCTCCCTTAAATTCTGTTTTACAAATTCCTTTTGCTTTAATTATTTGTTTCCTCCTGAAGGCAGCACAAAGGCAGGTGCTGAGCCCTGCTCTTCAGGACATGGCACCAACCCTGCTGCATCCTCACAGCCCCTTCCAGGCAGGGATTGGAGAACATTTTGTGCTGATTGAGATCCCCCAAAAGCTGAGAAACGAGCGGGGTTTGGGGCTGGGGGGGCTGGGATGGGGCGAGCTCAGTGCAGCTGAGGGCACGGGTGGGGATGGGCCTTGAGCATCCCTGGGATCCATGGAAAGGGAGTTCATTTCCAAAAGGGGTGGAAATGGAGTTCATTTCCGAAAGGGGATGGAAATGCAATTTATTTCCTAAAGAAAGGGGGTCTGCTCAACACCTGATGGGAAATGGAGTTGATTTCCAAAACGGGGATGGAAATGGAATTTATTTCCAAAAGGGGGTGGAAATGGAGTTTCATTCCAAAAGGGGGTGAGGCCTGAGGCTATGCCTTGGGTCCCAATGGAAACAAAGTTGATTTCCAAAACGGGATGGAAATGGAGTTGATTTCCAAAAGAAAGGGGATGAGCCCTGAGCTCTGCCCTGGACCCCAATGGAAATGGAGTTCATTTCCAAAAGGGGGCTTGGAAATGGAGTTTCTTTCCAAAAGGGGGATGAACCCTGAGCTCTGCTCTGGACCCCAATGGGAAACGAAAGTTTATTTTCCGAAAAGGAGGGTGGAAATGGAGTTGATTTGCAAAAGGGAAGAGGAAATGGAGTTTATTTCAAAAGTGAATGGAAATGGAGTTGATTTCCAAAAGGGGGTGGAAACAAAGTTTATTTCCAAAAGGGGGATGAGCCCTGAGCTACGCCTTGGGCCCCAATGGAAACGAAGTTGATTTCCAAAAGGGGGAAGAGGAAATGGAGTTGGTTTCCAAAGAAAGGGGATGAGCCCTGAGCTCTGCTCAACACCTGATGGAAATGGAGTTGATTTCCAAAAGGGGACAGAAATGGAGTTGGTTTCCAGAAGGGGCGGAATGGAGTTGGTTTCCAGAAGGGGGAAGAGGAAATGGAGTTGGTTTCCAAAAGAGGGGTGAGCCCTGAGCTCTGCTCTGTGCTGGACCCTGATGGAAATGGAGTTATTTCCAAAGGGCGATGGAAATTGGAGTTGATTTCCAAACTAAAAGGGGAATGGATTCCAAACTGCAACACCTTGGCCAGGAATTCCTCCGTGCTCCCCTTCCCCAGCCAGAATTCCCTGCAGGCACCTGATGCAAACAGGGCCTGGCTGTTCCTGCCCTGAGCTGAGGCAATCTCCACTCCTGAGCCCCAAATCCCATTTTGTGCCTTCCCCTGCCCCGTTCCTGCAGGGTTTGTGTCCCACACAGCTCTGACACACCAGATTCCCTGTGGCTTTGCCCCTTTCCTCTCCCCCTTTGCCCACTGGAAAGAAAACACCATCAATTGCCCAAATCCTGTGGTCCTGGCTGGATCCAAGGGCAGAGCCTGGCAGAGCTGCTGCTCTTCATGGCCACAATTCCCAATCCAGGCGCTGCCTCTGCTTCCCAACCTCTCCCTGGCTGGATTTATCCAGAGCAGCCGTGGTGGCTCCACTCAGGCACCAGAAGTTCCTGGCCTTGGACCCTTGAGGAGCGTCCCGATCAGGTGTGTGATAAAACTATAAAAATATTGAAGTGCAATTAGGTGGGGAAGGGGAAATGCTGCTGCTGCTGCTGCGGGCAAGAAAGAGAATTTTGGATCACAGCCCCCCTGCAATATTGATAACAACAGCCCAGAACGGACGGGTGGGCTCGGGGGGTTTTCATCCTGATCCTGGCCACAGGATGGGATTTGAGGGTTTGGGTGCAAATGTGGGAGGTTAAAGGGTGGAGCAACCTGGAGAGGGGCAGGGAGGGCGCAGGGCCACGCTTGGTGGCACAGCCTGGTGTCAACGCTTGGTGGGCACAGCCTGGTGGCACAGCCTGGTGTCACAGCTGGTGTCAATGCTTGGTGGCACAGCCTGGTGTCAACGCTTGGTGTCACAGCCGGGTGGCACAGCCTGGTGTCAATGCTTGGTGGCACAGCCTGGTGTCACAGCCGGGTGGCACAGCCTGGCCTCGGGGCTGCGGGGGAACCTCGGGGCTGCTTCCAGCGGCTCTCCCGGGCTGGGGCTGGTGGGTCCCGCAAGGCCCGGGTGCAGGGACAGTGTGGGCGTGTCCGCATCCCGCACACCTGGGCGTGTCCCAGCTCACACCTGGGCATGTCCCCATCTCGCACACCTGGGCGTGTCCCCATCCCGCACATCTGGGCGTGTCCCAGCTCACACCTGGGAGTGTCCGCAATCCCGCACACCTGGGCGTGTCCCCCATCCCGCACATCTGGGCGTGTCCCAGTTCACATCTGGGCGTGTCCAGCTCACACCTGGGCGTGTCCCCATCCCGCACACCTGGGCGTGTCCCAGCTGTCCCGTGTGCCCCTCCCCCGCCGCACTTTGGGGGGGGGAAGGGCCGGGGGGGGGTGCTGATGTCGCGTGTCCCCCATTCCCCCCCATCCCCCCCCGCACCTGCGCGCGCGCCCCCGTCAGGCCCCGCCCCGCGCGCCCCTAATTGGCTGCGGGGGGAGGGGCGGCTCATTAGTGATGCGGGCGCGCGCCGCGGCCCCGGAGTCGGCGGCGGCCGGAGCGGGGAGCGGAGCCCGCATCCCCGGGAGCCGAGCAGCGACGGGAGAGGGGCGGGCAAAACCCACCAAGACCGCCCGAAAGCCCGGCTGATTCTCCGGCTGGAGCTCGGTTCCGCAATCCCGGGGCTCGGCATCCTGCAGCTCCATCCCCGGCTCCGCATCCCGGGGCTTCATATCCCGGTGCTCTGCATCCCGGGGCTTCATATCCCGGTGCTCTGCATCCCGCAGCTCCATCTCTGGTTCCGCATCCCGGGGCTCCATCCCCGGCTCCGCATCCCGGGCTCCGATCCCGCAGCTCCATCCCCGACTCTGCATCCCGGGGCTTCATATCCCGGTGCTTCCGCATCCCGCAGCTCCATCTCTGTTTCCGCAATCCCGGCGATCCGCATCCCGGTTCTCCATCCTTGGCTCCGCATCCCCGGCTCCGTTCCCGGTTCCGTCCCCGGCGCTGCGGGCTCAGCATGGGCGGAGGAGCCCCGCGCCTGCACCGGTGGCTGCTGCTGCTGCTGCTGGGGCTGTGCAGCTGCACGGCCGCGCTGCGAGGTAAGCGGGGCTCGTCCTGCCCTCCCCCAGGGCGGCTCTGGGGTGCGGGGGTCCCACCGGTTGCTGCCGGGGCGGGGGGAGCGCCCGAGGATGGCGGAGCGGGAGATGCGCGATGCAGGGGATGGTGGGGACCCGCCGGGAAAAACATCGGCTGTCCCAGCGCCGGGAAAAACAAACACCCGCATCCTCCCTGCGCGAGGAACATCCACATCCCATCTCCCGGAGAAACACCCGCACTGCCCTGGGCTCCGGGGGGCGACGGCGCCGGGGTCCCGGCCGTGGTCCCGGCGTGACCCTGGCCCGTGGTTCTGGGGTGGTCCCGGGATGATCCCGGGTCGTGGTGGTCCCGGTCGTGGTCCTGGTCGTGGTCTCGGGGTGATCCCGGCCGTGATTCCGGGATGGTCCCGGGGCGGTCCCGGTCGTGGTCCCGGGGGCCATCCTCGCCGAGGTCTCGGGGCGATCCTGGCCGAGGTCCCGGGGTGGTCCCGGGGCGATCCCGGCCGTGGTCCCGGGGGTGGTCCCGGTCGTGGTCCCGGGATGGTCCCGGCCGTGGTCCCGGGGTGGTCTCGGGGCGATCCCGGCCGAGGTCTCGGGGCGATCCCGGCCGAGGTCTCGGGGGTGATCGCGGCCGTTCCGCTCCCTGGGGCTCAGCGCATCCCCGCAGCTGCGGCTCCGCGCTCGGAGCGCTCCGCGCTGTGCGGGGCAGCAGCAGCCGCGGGCATCCCGCGGGGCCGGGGCTGCCTCCGGGCCCGGACACCGCTCGGGTGTCCCGGGACGGGCTCGGGGGGCTCGGTCTCTCCCCCGGGTGCCTCCGGCCGATGCGCACACGCGGGTGGATCCGTTTCCCGTGTACCAGGCAGGCACTGGAGATGCTCCGAGTCCTTTTTATTTTTTGGTGATTTTATTGAACTTTTCGCTGGTGAATCACCGGAGGGCAGTCAACTCTTCAGGACACCCAGCAGACGATGCCAGCACCCTCGGGGTCCCGCACCCTCGGCGGGGCTGCCGGGGCTCCTCCGGGCGCTGGCGGTGCGGGGATGTGCGGGCGGGGGCTCTGTCCTGCCCTTGGAGGAAGGGACCTGCTGCCGTGAGCATCTCCGTGATGTTCAGCACCGGCGATCCTCGCAGCTTTGCAGCTCCTCGCAGCCGAGCTCTCCCTTTGCGCCTCCGAGGTGGTCCGCGCTTCCCGTTTTCCTTTGGATTTCCTTTCATTTCCTTTGGAATTTATGGGCTCTGCTCTCTGTAGGGGAGCCCATCCTCAGGTGGAGCCACGGGCTGGAGCCTCCCTGGAGCCTCCTTGGCCCCCTCACCTCTCCCTGAATTGGCTCCAGCAGAGGCAAAGCCAGGAGGATTTTGTGTAACAGCCAAAATGTGCCCTTTTGGGGTGTTTTGGGTGAGGAAAAGAACCTCAACCACCCCCAGAACCCCACCAGTTTAGAGGGCAGTGAAATAAATACCCAGAGTAGAATGGAAAACAAGAATTCCTGGGTTTTGTTATCCTCCCTGGCCCCCTCACCTGCCTGGACCTCTCCCTGCATTGGCTCCAGCAGAGGCAAAGCCAGGAGGATTTTGTGTAACAGCCAAAATGTGCCCTTTTTGGGGGTGTTTTGGGTGAGGAAAAATGCAAGCCCCTGTAGGGGAGCCCATCCTCAGGTGGAGCCACGGGCTGGAGCCTCCCTGGCCCCCCTCACCTCTCCCTGAATTGGCTCCAGCAGAGGCAAACCCAGGAGGATTTAACAGCCAAAATGTGCCCTTTTGGGGCTGTTTTGGGTGAGGAAAAGAACCTCAACCAACCTACAAAACCCCACCAGTTTAGAGGGCAGTGAAATAAATACCCAGAGTAGAATGGAAAACAAGAATTCCTGGGTTTTGTTATCCTCCCTGGCCACCTCACCTGCCCGGACCTCTCCCTGAATTGGCTCCAGCAGAGACAAAATCCCAGGAGGATTTTGTGTAACAGCCAAAATGTGCCCTTTTTGGGGCTGTTTTGGGGGAGGAAAAGAACCTCAACCAACCCACAAAACCCCACCAGTTAGAGGGCAGTGAAATGAATACCCAGAATAGAAGGGAAAACAAGAATTCCTGGTTTTTTATTGCGCTTTGCTCGGTGCCTCAGTCGGTGCTGGGGGTGCTCGGTGCCCCCTGCACCTCCCACCTGGGAACCTCGGGCAGCTCCAGCTCAGGAGCTGGAATTTCACACCACGGGGCTGGAGGATGCTCCTGGCGCTGCCAAGCAACAAATTCCGGCTCTTTAATTAAAGCTCAGGTTGGAGATTTGGAGTTCTGGGCTTTGGGCACGGTTTTGAGGCAGAACAGGGATTTTTGGGCACTTTGGTGGCTGGAGCAGTTAAAGCTCAGCTCCAAGCCCGGAGCTGGGAGGTTTTGGTTTATGAAGTTGTCTCAAAGCTGCCTCAGAGACAGATTGTGCTCAGATCTCTGTTCTGAGCGGGGATTAAAGACAAATGGAGCGGTTGTAGAAACCCCTGGCACGGCGTTTGAAATCTGCTGGAATGAATATCCATGGATACCTCTGGCTTGTGTTTTTACAGGGAAAAAATTGCCCTGACAGGGCCGGTAACTGGAGGAGAGAGTCACTAATATTTATTACCTCACTGATGCTCCAAACTCATTTCGAGCCGCACATTTCTGAATGGAGACGTCTGAGTTCTGTGAATTCCCTGCTGCATCTCCGAGCTGTGCCTCGCATCACAGAGATCCGGCTGGGTTTGGTGCTAAACGAGCATCGTTTGGGATTTTTCCTGCTCGGTTTGGTGCTAAACGAGCATCGTTTGGGGATCTTCGTGCTGATGAAACGAAGCCACCCAAGGATTGGGGCGGCTCTGTGGGCAGGGAGCTGCTGGAGCAGAGATCTCCGAGCGTTCCCGTGGATTTGGGGAGTTTTTAATTGGGTTTTTTTTTTTTTTGGCTGTGAGAAGCTCTGATCTCTGCGTGCTTACAGCAGAGCTGGACAAAGAAATAAAAAATTCCCCAGAGAAACCAAGCTGGGTTTGGGTAAAACCAGCAACTTGTGCTGGTGCGGGGATGAGTCTGGCAGTGAGGGCAGGGCCCTTTTGTCCTGCATTTAACCATGGGGATTGGATGAATCCCCAATTGCTGATCCTAAAGGGGCTGGGGTTTGGGGCAGAGCCGCTCCAGGGGCGGCGGTTCCTTGGCTGTGCCCATTCTGCAGGTTTGGGGCAGTTTTGGGCAATTTGGGGGACGTTCAGCAGCTCCTGGTGGGACATTTCTGCTGTGCCAGCCCCCAGCTGAGGGCGTAGGTCCTGTATCAATAATAACACAGGTTAATATCGATAATAACACAGGCTGATATCAGTAATAATACAGGCTGATATCAGTAATAATACAGGCTAATATCAATAATAACACAGGTTAATATCAATAATAACACAGGATAGTATCAGTAATTATACAGGCTAATATCAGTAATAACACAGGTTAATAATAATAACACAGGTTAATATCAATAATAACACAGGCTAATATCAGTAATAACACAGGTTAATATCAATAATAACACAGGCTAATATCAGTAATAACACAGGTTAATATCAGTAATAATACAGGCTAATATCAATAATAACATAGGTTATATCAATAATAACACAGGCTGATATCAGTAATAATACAGGCTGATATCAGTAATTATACAGGCTAATATCAATAATAACACAGGCTGATATCAGTAATAACATAGGTTAATAATAATAACACAGGTTAATATCAATAATAACACAGACTAATATCAATAATAACACAGGCTAATATCAATAATAATACAGGCTAATATCTATAATAAAACATGATGATATCAGTAATAACACAGGTTAATATCAATAATAACACGAGCTAATATCAGTAATAACACAAGCTAATATCAATAATAACACAGGTTAATATCAATAATAACACAGGATAATATCAATAACAAAACATGCTGATATCAGTAATAACACAGGCTGATATCAATAACAAACACATGCTGATATCAATAATAACACAAGTTAATATCAATAATAACACAGGCTAATATCAATAATAACATAGGATAATATCAATAATAACACAGGATAATATCAATAATAACACAGGTTAATATCAATAATAAAACATGCTGATATCAATACTACCACAGGCTGGTATCAAATAATAACACAGGCTGATATCAATAATAAAACATGCTGATATCAATAATAACAGAGGCTGGTATCAATAATAACACAGGTTAATATCAATAATAACGCAGGATAATATCAATAATAAAACATGCTGATATCAATAATAACAGAGGCCGATATCAAATAACAAAACATGCTGATATCAATAATAACACAGGTTAATATCAATAATAACACAGGTTAATATCAATAACAAAACATGCTGATATCAATAATAAAACATGCTGATATCAATACCACCACAGGCCTGATATCAATACCACCACAGGCTAATCAATACCGGCCCTGGGGTGATTGATCTGCTCTCCAGGTGTTACCAATGGCCCAGCTGGGTATTGATCACCCAGCCCTGGGCTTGCCACGGGACGAACACAAACCCAGGCAGGACCTGCAGCTCTTGGAGCCTCTCCTGGCTCTGCTCCATGCAGGAATTTCTGTATTTTCTGTATTTTCTGTATTTTCTGTATTTTGGTCTCGTTAGGATGAAATGTTCATTAAAATAACAACCACAAGCTCTGCTCCCAGCTGTCCTCCCACTCCCCTGCAGTGCCTCGTGTGGGCTTTCCCCATCAATATTTATATTATTGAATTTCATTTTCTTTTAAATTTTATTTCAACCTCCCAGGGAATGAGCTCCCTCCCCATTCCCCATCTCCCAGGGTGTGCTGCAGGTCTGGAGCTTTTTGGGGCACTCAGGTTTTGGAACAAGGGTTATTTCCTCCAAACCACAAGAATTTGGGGGCTCTGAATTTTATATTATCGATTTTAATTTTTTTTAAATTTTATTTCAACCTTTATTTTATA